TTTGCTGCCTCAGCTCTGATAAACTGGACAGCTGAAGCTCCTTAAGTCTGTCGTGACAACTTATCTTATCTTTGCCCCCAGAATATTTTTGCAGCACTGTTCTGGTGCTCTGCAAAGTTCCAGCATCTTTTAAAATGTGAATCCTGAAACCAGAGGCAGTGTTCCCTTAATGGCTTCTGGCTAAAGTTGTCCTCTCTTGTATCTGTGGCTTTCTGCCCAGGAAATATATTTCCTGTTATAAAGAAAAATGTGAACGTTTATTCCTCTATCCTATTTTTGATACTAGAGTTCCCAAAGTTGGAAGAGTAGTCCTTTTGAACCAAGAAGCTCATATCCTACTGGTCAGAACTACTCTTTGCCTAGAAGCAATGTGGATGAGTCTTGACTTCAGAACATGGAGACTTGGCTGTCTAGCGATCGCTGATTTCATCTTTCTGGAGTTCCAGAGTAGCTGTGCTGGTGCTTGCACTGCTCTTGAGCAAGTTGGGACAAAATAAGCAGCTTATTTTCTATCCTTTGTCAGTGGAAACTTGAGAGCACAACCTTTTGTCCCCTATCTGAAACTTGGAAGGTGAGACTTTCCCCTCATGCCATTGCACTTTTTGACCTTGGAAGAACTACCCAGTGCGCTGTCTGAGAGCAATACTCTGCCTGGTACTAGATTCAACTGATGTTGTGCCCTTCTGTGCTGCTCTGAAGTGGCAGTGCTGGGGCGGAAGAAGAGGGAGGTGCTAAGGTGGAGTAGTAGCAGATACAGAATCACCTGCAGTTTTGTCTGCTGTTTAAGTGTTTATCTTTTATTCATGAAACTTGATTGATTGTGTATTGAGGCTTTTAGCTGCTTTCGTGATGAGAGCTGGGATTTCCTCCCCCCCTCCCCCTGGTTATTTTCCAAGTAATCTTTTGAATTGTTCTGTCTTTTGCCCAATGGTGGAGCTGTATTTAATAGGAGGATGCCACTAAAAGAAATGTAGCCCTGGGTGGGCAATTACTTGGGCTGTTGCAAGCCAGGTCAGCCCCCCTGCGTCCCCTAACAACTCCCAGGGCTACCAGGAAGCAAGTCCAGCTGCTGTGCTGCCCCGGCCGTGCTGCGGGACCAGGGGCTGTGGGACCGGCTGCATGCGCTACACACCAGGCTGCCCCCTGCATCTGGACCAGGTGGCATCAAGGGACTCGCTGCCAGGCAGAAAAACATCTTGGAGAACCCGATCTGTCCCGCAGGCTGTATTTTGCCCGCCCCCGGTCTCTACTCTGACTAGTGAGTTAGGTAATAGCCTGCTCTTTTCATTCCATGGTGTCTTGCATTCTTCTTCCCTTCAGTTTCTAGTGCTTTGCCGAAACGTAGGTGTTGAGCTGTGCCCATAGGTGGGGTCTGCTGAACTCAAGGAGGCGGCTGCCTGATATTTGTGGGCAGATCTTGGGGCTGGCCGCCACTTTTGTGGGCAGAGGTAGCAGGGGAATGTCTCTGGTGGAAGGGCCCTGGCAGTCCTGCCCGTCCCCACAGACTGCCAGATGGCCTGAAACCTGGCTTAATTACTCTGAACTCAGTAGTTCCCTATTCATAGATGAAGAGCTCATCATCTAGTCTGGTTTCTGGACTGATACAGGGCACTGTTTATTTGAGTAATTCTTGAATTCTTGCATCAATTTTGACATGGTTTTTTGCGTGAATCTGATATCTTTTATTAGACCAACTTGCATCTTTGATTAAAAAATTCATGAAGTGACAAACTTGGTGAATTCTTGCATCAAGTTTTTAAACTTTCAGTCAAATTAAACTATCTTTGTATAATATCCTCCACATTGAAAAACTAACGAAGGATTCACCAGACTGCCTAGTCAGTTGTTCCACAGTTATGCTACAGTTAAAAAGTTCTTACTTTCAGTTTTAAGTTGTTTTTCAGCAATTAAATGATTTCATAGGAAAGTTGGGCTGAAGGAGCCTCACAAAAAGGTTATCTAGTCCAGCCCCCTGTCGAAGGCAGGATAACACCTGACTAAACCATCCCAGCCAAGTATCTGTCCAAACTGCTCTTGAAAATTTCCAAGGATGAAATGTTCACAATTTCTCTAGGTGCCTGTTCCAGTGCTTGACCACCCTGATGGTCAGAAAGTGCCGCCTCCTCTCCAACCTCAATTCCTCCTGCTACAGCTTGAGGCCATTGCTCCTAGTCCTGTACCCTGCAGCCACAGAGAAGAGCTCATCCCCAGCCTCTCTGTTATCATCCTTCAGGTATTTGAAGACTTATCACATCCCTCCCAGTCTTGTCTTCTCCACACTAAATAACCCTAAGTCTTTCAGCCTTTCCTCATCTGTCTCTCCTCCCAGGCCCCTATTGCTCTACACTGGAGTCTCCAAATTGTTCATATCCTTATTGAAGTGTTGGGCCCAGAACTGGACACAGTTCTCCAGGTGAGGCCTTGCCAGTGCTGAATAGAGCAGAAGAATCACTTGCCTTAATTTGCAATTAACATTCCTGTTAATACAACCCAGGAGATGTTGGGGCTTTTTTGCAGTGAGAGCACACTGTTGATTTGTATTGAGGTTATTATGGTCCACCGTGACCCCCAGCAGCCCTGGCAGTCATTCCCCAGGCTGTATTTGCACATGCAGTTATTCCATCCCAAGTGCAGGGCTTTGCACTTGTCCTTGTTGAATCTCATCTGGTTGATGTGGATCAGTTCTCCAGGCTATCCAGGTCATTCTGGATCCCAGCTCTGCTCTCCAGAGAGTCTGTGATGCCACCTGACTTGGTGTGGTCTGCAAATTTGCTGTGTGTGTACTCGATCCTATTGTCCAAATCATTAAGGAAGCTATTAAAAGAACTCGGCAGTGTTTTACATATTTACCAATCTGAAGAACTCTTTGTTGTGAGAAATTTTTACTCTGTGTAGCTTATGATGACATACCCTTCCTTTTGATAAGTTTAAATAACTGAACTTTTAAAGTCTCCTGCTAACAGGCTTTTTTCCCCCAGACTTCACTTCTTTCTCATAGCTCTTTTTTGAGGCCTTTCCAGTTTTTCTACACTTTCTTTGTAGCATGGATGCAATAACTAGATATTTACTTTATTAATGGTCTCAGTAACGTCCCATATGGAGTTGGTATCACCTTCTTACTCCTACTAGTCCCCCCCCTTATCCATCCAAGTTGGCATTAGCATTTGTGACCATCATCATTGACAGACATCATGTTTATTTGGTTATCCAAGTCCTTTCCACTGCTGATTTATAGGATAGTCCTAACCCTGAGCCACCTGGATTTGGGAAGGGCAGTGTATAAATTGAATATGTACCAGTACATGCATAATAAACCCTGTAAATGACACTTAGGTTCTTTATTCCTAGAGGCCTCTTGTAACATATTTGTTACAATACTTGTGCTCTGCATGTGTGCAGCAATTTTCATAAGAGGCTCCTGGAGCTACTTAGAACTGAGAGAAGCCGCAACAGCCAGTGTTGTGCCACAAAGCAATTGCTTGTTTGTGCTAAGGCTGGTGCTGTGCCAACAGTTTATTTCAGATTGCTGAACTATTTGCATTCAGTAAGTCCACTTTAACCTAAAAGGCCAAATTTCTGGGAAGCTAAGATCTGTTTGGGGGAGTTTGGTGCAGCGTAAATGTGGAGAATACCAGAGTGAGGGGAGGGTGTGTGTGCTTTAAGCTGTACTGACAATTCTTTAGCTATTTTGAGACGTGTGTGTAAAGAAAATCCCTTTGTGAGCCTTTAAGAGCTCAGGTGCCGAAGTAGCAGAAGTATAGGTTTTTGGCAGGGTGCGTGCCCACCTGCAGGAGAAAAGCCGTTCAGCCCTCCAGTGAAAATGGGCTGTGTGAATTAAGTTGAATGAAGGGTGGCATCTTCCAGGCGTGCTAAATCATGTCAGCGTTCTAAACGCAAGGGCTGCCCACACGTGCGTAGCAAACGTGCAGCTGTAGTTGTGCAAACCCTGCCCCCTTTCATTGTGAGCTAAAGTTCAGGAATTCTGCAGGAGAGCACTACAGATATGCTTTCTTCTGTTGGGCTCAAACTTTTGAGCTGGGTGTGGGAAAACATGGGTGGCTGCTAGTATCTGTTGATTTAAAAAAAAAAAAAAAAATGGGAGTTGTTTTGTCTTCAGTTTCTGTCATTTCCTATCGACCTCAGTGATCTTATGGTAATTTAGTAAAAATTAATTGTAATGTACAAATTGACATTGTTTCCTATGGTGTGGGAATGTGTTACCGATTTTGGTTTGATATGTAAAAGAGCTGTTTTTTATGAGAGGACCTTGGGCTCTACAAATAAAGACAGAGTGTTGTAGCAGTAGTGTTCTGGGATGGTGCCCTAGTGGTTAGATTAGGGGCTAAGACTCTGGGATATTATTCTTGGCTTCATCCCACTCATTCTCTAACTTCACAGGTCATTTTAATGTCTTTACTTCTGTTTACCTGGCTGAGGAACAGGTGCCACCTGGGAGGTTCAGGCTTAATATTGTGCACTGCAGTCTGTTGTGCCGTCTCACCTACAAAAGGCCTATCGTGAAGCAGCGCATCTGAGCAGCACCAGTCTCGTGTTGACTGAAATGTTTGCCAAGGGTTCAGAGCATGGAACGTGGTGTGCAAGGCTAAGACCTCCCTGTGTTAGTAGGAGTTCTGTAGGCAAAGCGTTTCTGACTGAAGAGGAGTTTAAATTCTGTGAATAATGATTATAGCAATGTTTGTAAACACAGAGGACTGAGCGAAAAGCATCTACAAGTCAGGGTGGACTGCTGTATGGATTACTGAGGCAAGGCGAGGTTTGGGTGGGAGGAAGTGACTTTCTCATTGTTCAGTTGCTCTTAATTTAGCTGACTTTTTTGGTAGCTGTGTAAACGTGACAGTCTGGCAGGCTGTGAAGCATGCTCTAACATGGTGCTAATCTTCCTGACCGACAATGAAGTCCCTTTCTCCATAGCTGTTTGCAGGATTTCCCTCCTCTCACCCATGGGGTTTGGAATGTGTTCTTAAATCACCTTTTAAAATCTCGTGCAGATCTTTGTGGAGTTTGATGGCTGCAACTGGAAGCAACATGCCTGGGTGAAAGTTCATGCTGAAGAGGTCATCGTGTTGCTGTTGGAAGGCTCGCTGGTTTGGGCTCCTCGAAATGATCCAATTCCACTTCAGGGAACTCGGGTCTCTCTCGCGCATTGGCCTGCACTTGTAAGTATTTGGCTAGAACAATTTCAGCATGGAAAAAAGCCATGTAATTGTTGAAGTTGGGATTAGCTTTATCTCAGGTCCTTTTTATGGCTTATGTGCTGCTTCCTGACCTTAGCTATATTGAGTTGAGGCAGGAACAAATTTGGGAAGTGGAAAATGCAGTTGGGATCTGGACAAAATGTTCTGTTATCTCTGAGGCTGCGAAGTCGGAGGTCTCGCATGTTGTGATGTGTATTTCCTAAGGTAGGTTGTTTCTGGACCATGCTATCCCAAGCAGCTTAGCTTACGAACTCCAGGTCCCATTTCAGAGGTCTGATTGTTTGGGTGAAATTTAGGTTGCATGTGGAACTCTTTTCAGGTGCTTGGGATTGTACGGTGATGAAGTAGCGAGGAACTTTTGAAGGTTTTAGAAAGATTATTTCTCATAGTACCTAGCTGTGATTCCTGCAGAATTTATAAGGACTTCCCCCCTGCTCCCCTTGACTTTTAATAGGCTAAGTGCTATACCCCAAAGTTTTTGTTGGAATAGCCGTATTGCCTGGAGGATGTGGAAAGATGCACAGAGAAGAGAGCTGCTGCTGGCTGCCAGCTCCATTTTTCATTTGGGGAAACAGATTAACTGTGTCAAAGGAAGCCGTCTGTCAGCATATGCTACCCCTTCATGTTGACCTTGCCACCATAGCTATTCCAATGTTTTCATATTTGCTGTTCCAGTCCTTTCTATTCTGGAGGACTCTGGGGATATGAAAACTAATGAAATTAAAACTTGAGAAGATTTAATTGAAATCAAGTGAGAGAGAGAAATTTTAGTCAGTGCTGAAACCTTTTTGTTGATCTCTATTTAAGTTGCATGGGAAACTGTTGAGAGAGAACATCTTTGGTTCAGTATTTCTTCCCCTTAAGTTAGTGTCTGAGAGTGAGCATGTGTTATTTTCTTGGTCCTTCAAGAGTTCACCAGCAAATGTAAAAGAAAGATTCAAGATGCAGTGCTCCTGGTAATAACTTAGCAAAGTAGCTTTTGATGCGTTTCAGGCTGCTTTTATCAATCATAAAACAAAATTCCACAATCTTTCCTTAGTGAGTCGCCTTCAAAAACATCTCTTATTCTGTCCTTTTTGTAGGTCACTTCTAAGTAGAAAGTATCCTGATTTCCCCGCCGCCCCCAACCCCTTCAAGCATTAATATTTTAAAATAACTCTATACAACTAGAAGTTAATGTTATAAATGTGTTTTCATCTGGGAGTCTGTTCTCTAGTGCTCTGGCATCTGGGTTGTGTTAACAGGAATATCTCTTGCAAATTAAGTGAAGTCATGGTGGGTGGAT